AGTTTTTCTTCCTTGGTCTGCCATTCTTCTTTCACTTGACATATTATTAATATTGAATCCCCATAGATATCAAGCTTCTTTATTTTCATCTCCAAAGCAACTTCTAATCCAAGGATACAAGCCTCATATTCAGTAGTATTGTTAGTGCATTCAAATTGTAGTTTGATTGAGACGGGATATTGCTTCTTGTTAGGTGAGATTATCACAGCCCCTGCTCCATTATCAGAAATATTCACTGCCCCATCAAAATACATTATCCACCAATCATTCTTCTCTTTATCTTCTTCTACTATCAACACATCTTTATCTGGGAAGTCAAATTTCAAAGGCTCATAATCTTTGATAGCATTATCTGTTAGATGATCAACAATTACACTTCTTTTTACAGATTTTCTTGTCTTGTATACAATGTCATACTCAGCCAACATCACTTGCCATCTTGCTATTCGGCTTGACAAGTAGGGTTTCTCAAAGATGTATTTAAGAGGATCCATTTTTGAGATCAACCAGGTGGTATAATACAACATATATTGTCAAAGATGCTTTGTACTTCATACAAGAGCACAACATAGCTTCTCAGTTAGAGTATATCTGGATTCACAATCGGTAAACTTCTTACTTAGATAATAGATAGCTTGCTCCTTTCTTCGAAACTCATCATGTTGTCCCAACACACACCCCATTGCTACCCTAGTTACTGTTAAATATAAGATCAAAGGTCTTCTAGGCACAAGTGGCACTAACAAAGGGTGGATTCTGTAAGTATTGCTTTATTTTATTAAAAGCCTCTTGACAATCTTTGTCCCATGTACCAGGGTTCTTTTTTTCGAAGTAATAAAAAAACTAGCTCCATGTTGCTATTAACTGAGATATGAATCGAGCGATGTAATTCAAACGTCCTAAGAAACCTCTTACTTCTTTCTCAGTCTTAGGAACTGTCATAGCCTGAATTGCTTTCACTTTATCAGGATCGACCTCTATTCCTTTATTGCTTATCACAAATCCTAGCAACTTTCCAGACTTTACCCCAAACGAGCATTTTGAAGGATTCAGCTTCAACTGATACTTTCTTAGTCTTTCAAATAATTTTCTTAGAACCTGAACATGATCTTCTTCATTCTTAGACTTGGCAATCATATCATCCACATACACTTCAATCTCTTTATGCATCATATCATGGAAAAGTGTCACCATTGCCCTGTGATACGTGGCTCCAGCATTCTTCAACCCAAATGGCATCACTTTGTAGCAGAATGTTCCCCATGGTGTGACAAAAGTGGTCTTCTCTTTATCTTCTTCAGCCATTTTAATCTGGTTATAACCGGAAAATCCATCCATAAAGGAGTAAGTTGAACTCCTAGCAGCATTGTCTACCAAGACATCTATGTGAGGCAAAGGAAAATCATCCTTCGGACTGGCTTTGTTTAGATCCCTGAAATCTACACATACTCTGATTTTGTCATCATTTTTTGGTACCACCACTATATTAGATACCCATTGAGGGTATTTAATAACTTCTAGAAAACCGGCATCCCACTGCTTCTCTATCTCTGCCTTGACTTTGAGCACAATATCTGGGCGAGTTCTTCTTAATTTCTGCTTAACAGGTTTACATCCTTCTATCAAAGGTAATCTGTGTACTACAATATCAATGTCTAAACCAGGCATATCTGTATAAGACCAGGCAAACACATCGATATACTCTTGTAGTAATGAGGTTAAACTGCATCTTTCTTCTGTAGTGATCAGAGTTCCAATCTTTAACTCTCTTTTATCTTGCTCAGTGCCTACATTTATCACCTCTAATTCTTTTTTTGCAAGTTTCCAAGCATGCTCCGATTGTTCTACTCGTCTAGTAAACTCTTCATTCCATTCCTCTTCATCAATTGCAATTTCATCCTTATCAAAGTTTGGCCATTCATTTTCAATGCAATATGTTTGTGGATTTATAGAGGATTCACTTTCAGAATTCCTGAAAGCGGAAGGTGTTTTTTAGTGTGAATGCATATCTTGTAGCCAAACAAAATAAAAGGAATTCAACAAATACTGATGGTGGAAATGCATGATCTCAATAATATTTTAAAAGTTGGCTCAACAATTATAAAAAGACCTTATGTTGACATCTTGAGCCAAGATTTCCAACTAGGTATAAAAACACAAAAGCAAACTACAATGCAAAGCACATAGAGCACATAAAAGCAAATATAAGTAAACGCTTAATCATTACTTCTTGAAAACAACTAGGGCTTCTTCAATCTCCCAATTCTAGAATACTTCTTCAACTAAAAGCTTTCGCACAAAGGCGCTAGTTGGAGCCTCTTCTAGATAATAAACAGTTAACTGAGACAACAATTCATCTTCTTTTATTGTTTTTTGCTCATTATCATAGTTCCAACCTTTCCTTTCACTTTCCTCTATATTGTTAATATCCATGATAACAAGTTTTTGTCCCAATACTTTCATCATGTTTTCAGGTTTCATCACATATGCTGACTTTGGAAAAGAAACATGGATAGGTGGGATTACAATGTCTTCTTCCTCTGGCTTTCTTCCTTCTATTTTGGCCAACCTTTTTTTCTCGTTTTATCCTAGCAACTCTTTTGTGATCATCTTTCTTAGGCTTAAAGCCAAGCCCAAACCTCTGATTAGCAGCCTTAATTTTTATCATGTTGATTCTCTTAAGATTTCCAGTAATTGGATCATTCTAGAATGGTAGCCTATGTTTTAAAAAGCACTTAGCTGTCATTCTGGCAGAATCAGAAATAATTGGTCTTCTCAACACCTTATTCTCTGGTGCCCATTCAGTGTTCACAATCTCGAAGGCATGGAGATTTCCATCTTTGCAATCTTCTTCTTCAATATAAGGGACCGACACATTCCTTATCATGGACAAGGTTTCTTCTGCCTTAACTTTCACTAGAATATCATTGATAATGTACTTCAGACATTGGTGTAGAGATGATGTCACAGCCCCAGAGGCGTGTATCCATGGCCTTCCTAATGACATGTTATATGACGAATGGATATCCATCACTTATAGGGTTATCAAAAACATCTGAGACCCTACAAACAATTCAATGTCAATGGTCCCTATTACCTGTCTAGGGGAACCATCATATGCTCTAGCCGTCATAGTACTTGGCCTCATATGAGTAGCATCAATTGGCA